ACTACTACTACTACTACAACTACTACTAATCCTATGGCTACTACAACAACGATACAAGCGCTACCACTACTGGTAGAAGTACTTGTTGGCTGGTTGTTTTCAGGGGGGCGTCAAAAACACAACGACGGGGCTGCAGATGTTGTTTCCACCCCCTTGTAGAGACAAAGAAAGAAGATATGTTGTAACGGGGCTGCAGTTTTTGTTTGTACCTTGTTGTTGCTGTTGTTGTAGTTGACGGCGTTGTTGTTATTGTTGGTGTGGTGGCGGTGCTCATCGAAGCAGCTATCACTTTTGTCATACTCGTGACGGTAATAGTTGTAGTAGTTGCGGTCCGTGTTGTAGTGCTCGCGATGCCGTTATCATAAACTTGCAAGCAATGTGTTTCGAGACACACCATTTAGGTCTATTGAAATTGGATCGCTTGCTTGGTGGGCGCAGTTGCTGAGCGTTGCAGGAGTCGCAGGTACAATGAAGTCTTCAGCACAGCAAAAAAACGACTTCAAGATGTACAGCAGCCGTTCGCATCCATGATCATCATTCTGGGTGATTGGTGCTTTTCTGATATCCTCGCGTTATCCACTGGTTCCCTCAGCTCCCTGAAAAAAAAACACGGTCTTTGGTCAGCAAAGACCTGCGAAGACCTGCTGACAACGTGAGCATGGCGGGCTCACCAAAACTACAAAAATATACAAAAATAATCTGAGTCTGCCAATTACAGCAACAATTGAGCTATACATTAAGCGCCCTTCTTATCTGCCACCCTTGGCGCAAACTAAAGAGGCCCCAATCTCTTATAGCCTTGAAGTATAAGTCCCATAAAGTTCCCGACATTGCAGCCCTTCTGCCTTTTGCAGGCCCATATCTGCTCATGTTGATCTCAAGACATGAACTGCTGCTGTGGGGCCTCCTCCCGAATCTCGACGTCGACTTCGCCGTTTTTCAGAGCGTTCTTGCGCTGCTTGTGGTTGCGGGCTGTTGGATGCCTGTCAGTGGGCAAAGCGCTGGAAGGGAAGGAGCAAACTTGGAGGAATAGAATCAGAACACAACACAATTCGCTGAAGACCAGGTAGGAGGGGTCTCAAACAATGCTTTCTTGACCCGTCTATCACCCGGATCCTGAAGGAGAAGCTGAAGGAGAAGAGCAGTCTCACTCAGATACTGGCATGTATTGACACTTTACTCGGAGGGCATTAAAAAACTGGGCACATATGGGATCTCAGTGAAAACTGAAGGCAAGTCCAGCTTGGCAATCCCATTAAGGCACGGAGTGCCTCACTCAAAGGTTTTTCTCGGCGCAGCTGGTCTTGCAGTAAGGCTTTAACCTACAGCAACAAGAAGGTCAACGGTCAAAACAAAGAAATGATACGGAGCGGCGGAGAGAGCGATTAGGCGTGGACATTTGCTGCTTGCGTCTCGGCCTGCCAAGTAGTGAGGGAATCATCTGCGCTTGGCTGCGCTTTCAATGAAACGCAACGTCAGTAAAACAGCAGCGCAGGTTCACAAGAGCTGCACATAACGGCGGGAGAGCGAATGAGAAAAGAGAAAAAGAGACAGAGAGAAAGAGAAAGAGAAAAATAAAGATATAATGGAGAGAGAGGGGGAGGGAGAGGGAGAGAGTGTGTGTGTGTGAGCGAGCGCAAGCGCCACGCCAACCAGCAGCATGGCTACCACCACCTCTGGCCAAACTCAAAAACCATCCTCGCGTTTCATCCACGAGTACAACGAAGCAACCACGACAGCAAGCGCCGCAACAAGAAGAAAAACCTGAGAGGGGAGGATACAAAAGCTAGTGTTTGCCGTTCTGGCTATTGCGCATCTTTTTGTCTCGCCATCTATCGTTCCTCTTCTGTCTATCCATCCATCCACCTACTCATTCCTTCAACTACTTAATCTCTCAATCTTCAATCTCTTCTTTTGTCCTCTCGTTCTCGTTCGTCTTTCTCTATCTAGTCTATCTATCTCTGTCTCTGACACTTCCTCCCCTTCCATCGATCCATCTACCTACCCGCCCACCCATCCAGCTAGCAATCCATTGACCGACCTGCAAGCGGCAAAGAGCCCCTGAAAAAAACACACACACACTTATCAGCTTAAGAGGCGCCCTTTTTAAAGCTGTTTTGCCCTTCCAACACTTGTATCACGCACGCTTCGGACGATCCGAACGAATGGCCTCAGCATAGCGGAGACGCGCTCGACCAACAGGTACCGGTCCAGAGTTAGGGCCATTGCCTAGCATAATCCTGAGCGCCACGCAACGGCCTCAGTCTAAAGAATGCAGCCAGGGTCCCAAGCGTTGAACGAGCAGTCCCTTCACTTAGAGGATCCAACGTTGCACAAAGGACACTATTCTCAACACTAGGCATCTTACGCCTTTGTTTGTGGGAACGATGTCGTTTGAATACAAGTCTCACTTCACCAAATGCCACGACATCGTTTTGGCCAACGACATCGTCGCCCACATAACGACAATGAAAGGCGCTGAAGCCTAATCTTTGGCAAAATTACTTTCACATATAGTGTCGATTGTGTATCAATATATAGAATGGCAACACGACATCGTTTTGGCCAACGACACCGTCGCCCACATAACGACAATAAAAGGCACTGAAGCCTAATCTTTGGCAAAACTGTGTTCACATATGGTGTCCATTGTGTATCTATATAGAGACTGGCAACATTCTGTAACACCTGAGCTGTCACCGACAACGTTTCCACAAACGCAACCGCTCAACCACCATGGCACCGTTGCCACACACGAAACCGTTGCAGGGGCAACGACAATAAATGCGGGTGAACACGCTTCGATTTACAAATTGTAACCTATGCCGGCGCTTTGTGTATGATCACTACACGCAAATGATCTACACGCGCTTTCTGCCAGTGCAACGCGACAACGCTGATACACACTGAAGCGGCGCTGAGATCTCGGAAACGTTGATACCAACGCAACCGCTGCTGGAAACCCGACATCGTTACATATGGGGCTCTAGATTGACACACCTGGATCTGAACATGGTATTGCCCAGCAGTTCTCCGCTACCATGTTGCTCTTGTATGCCGAAAGAGTCTAGAGCGTCAGCATGTCAAAGGAACATGCTTCATGCTCATTGTGCAAAAAAACGTCGACCAATTGTACTCCACACACCGAGCGTGTGTTGCATTCTGTTTTTCTAAAACAGTTCATGTGTCCACTACAGTGAACCCTTTCGCCGTGCTTTCATGGGACCTATAGGAAACCTATATATAGCCTATGTTGGACTCTATAGTTGTTTGAGCGGGCGTTTGCTTTTGTTTTTGTGTGTAGGTCTGGCACAAACACGAAAACGGTTGTGAAAAAACACGATGTAACATAACGAAGGAATGTAAACACATATTTGGCTTGCGCACGACGCTTTCCGATGCACGTTTTTTTTGGCGCACTGAGTCGTGTCTAGATCTCCAAACTCTGGCTTGCAAAATCCCCTGCAGCCACCCGGGTTTTCGAATTTGGCAGACATTAGGCGTTAGCTGCATCTTTTAAAGAAGTGCGCTAACCCCAAGATCCACCGCTGGAGAACCTGCTTTGCCATTGTTTTTCCATGGCACTTACATGCAATCTTCTTTAGAGATCCAAACCATTTTTCTTCTTCCCAGACGTGAAACATTCTGGGGTTGATTCTTGTAGATTTCACCTCCGACGCCACGTGCCATAAATAGTGCTGTTTTGGACGTAATTTGAATGCCAAAACATGTGCTTGCCAACACCACGACGCGAGAAATTGGTTTGTTCGGAGGTAGAGTCGAAGCATCGCGCCCACGTCCTTAAGTGGCAGCAAATGCGTGAACATTGTACACTGTACACTTGCAGAACGTGTTTTTAGGTCAATGACCTGTGACCCCTGAGTAGGCAATACTATTTGTATGAACTAATGTGCTGCCAAGCAGCGTCAGCCTGTTCAGATGTTAATATCAGGCCGCAGCTGTCCATAATCTCTATGGCTTTGGCCAGGGAAAAGCAGCAGGTAGCCATTGTTTTGACGACCATCGATTCCTTAAACATTTTGATCGACAAGCGCAGGTTCTTGATGATGGTAATCTACCAAAACAAAAATTATATAAATGGGCAAACCGGGTCGGTCGAAAACTTCCCGAAACAAATGTGGGGCGCGTCTCAGCTGCAATCCTCTGAACTTTCTGACTGATCCACCAGACCATTTGTTTTATATGCGCGGCCTTGAAGCGACTACCAAGTTCAACGTAGTTATCATTGAAGCTGCAGTTTGAAACGCTAAAAGATTTCTTTGGCGTGTAGATCCTAGGTTTGCACCAGTGGCTCTCAGAGAGAGAGAGAGAGAGTAAAAGAAGATAAAAGAAGTATCTATAATCAGTGGTTCTCAGAGAGAGGGTAAAGAAGTATCTATAATCACTATGATTCAAACACTTTGATGCATTCTTTAGTTTTGTCCTTCGGAAAAATGATATCAAGTTTGAAGAAAAATACACAAACTGAACATATATCCATCCATCCTGGTGCAACAATATGAACGTGCTGGAGACCTACCATATGTGTTTGGATACACTTACACCAGAATGATGGCGAAAAATCCTGACATGTATCTTTTGGTCCTTGCAATCCTGCTTCATCTCCAAGCTCACACGCTTCAGAAACATTTGGTCGGTCTCCATTGTTTCGTAATGGTACCCAAGGACGCGTAAGACCTTGAGACAGGAAGGTATATGGTCTTTGGCCACACCAAGAAAAATAATGCGCATCACGTCAAATGTGCAACTCTCGTACACCCACCCCTGGATAGCAGCCCAGGGGGACACCCTCCGAGTGGTTCGTAGATACTCTGTATGGTCAATCACAGTAGCAGCGTAAGCGGCAGCTTGTGAAAAATTTTTGTAGCAAAGTGGGTGCAGTGCATCTTCATCTCGCTTTGGTTGAAATGCATTACAGCGGTCGCATAGCTGCTTGCAAAGATAGTTACGGTGGAACAGGTGGCTTTCTTTTCTCGCTTTCAAATCTGCTTTGAAGGTGAAGTATACCAACCTTTTGCAGCAAATGCTTGTTCCAATTGCAATGAACCAAAGTTGTTTTCCACGATAACTTCAATAAAAGAGAAAACCTTAATTGTAAATATGGGTCAAGCATCTTATACCCATTGCCAAATTCCTTGCCAGCCAGTTTTTCTCGGTAGGTCCCCTTCTGAAAAACTTCTCCCCGAAATCCTCTAGTGGGGAACCTTCCAGTTGCTGCATGTTGTAGAGACCAAGCTACCAAGTCAGCGGCAACTTGGTTCACGCCTTCCCATACCTTACTTGCATGTGAACAAGTGCTGCTTGTTGTGCATGAAAGGAAGAAACACTAAGACCAACTTACCAAAAAACAATGTTTGTTCGAGCTGCTGTTTGTAAAGCCATGTGTGACTCAGCTGTAACCAGAATAGGAAACTTGTTTGCCAACACATCCTTAATCATACCTCCTGGTGCGAAAGATGAACTCCAACTCAGTGCAAAAAACTCCTTGAGAAGAACTCACACCCATCGCCGTGCAAAGAAAAGGGAATTGCCTTCGCCAATTCTGCATCAGACAGAGAGTGCAGCAGGGAATGGTGCTGGTAAGTCGGAAGGGTTTTGATATGATTCCAAAAGTTGAGGATGGAGTCGGCTCGGTTGTTCCCACACATAATCGATCTAAACTGGCAGGGTTGGCCAATCTCATCAAAACATGTTGTCCAAACAAAATGCTTATTGTTTTGACTCCACAAACTTGCCTGGTCTGGTGCTGCTTCGTGGATTGCTGCAGAAACCTCATGGGGCAGCAAGACGCTGCTCTTCACCGGAATTGGGCCCTCATCGCTGTCCACCTGAAACCAAGGAAGTAGCAATGAGCAGGAATGGTGGAATGACCAATGCGCAACCAATGCTCAATACTCCAATCACAATGGATGTTCAATGCCTAAAGCGAAATGAATGGCCAATGTTCAATTTTCGAAACAGAATGAATCAATGAATGAATGAATGTTTGAATGCATGAATGTCACAATGCTCCAGACACAATGAATTTTTGAAACATGTCTAATTATCGAATCCAAAGTAAATGACAAATACTCAGATGAGAATGCAATGATCAAAGCGCCTGAAGAACCAAGTCCAGCTCGTATGGGTCCAGCTCCAACCCAAACGCACCCCTCGTCCATCGCAAGATGTTCACCAATGTACTTTCACCCAGCAGAGCCACGGAGTCACAGACTATAGTTACAACCACTGGTGTTTGTTGAAAGGTGTCAATTAGTTTCATTAGGCGGAAACACACAGCAAATAAACAGACGTGTTTACAAATTCAGACGTCGTTGCTGCCAGGCTTGCCCATCACGAAGAGGCAGAAGCTGGGGTTCAATGAAAGCACTGAGAGTGCGACTGTGAACAAGCTGTT